ACCGTTCACCTGATGTGGATGTAAATACCCTCAAATTAAGGCTGACAGTCTGCAGTTAAAGCACATCGTGTTTGTTGCATTTCAAATTCACCATTGTGGTGGTGTATAGAGCCAAAAATGTTAGAATTGTGTCGATGTCCCAATATTTATGGACCTGACTGTATCAAAAGTTCTGATGACAAATTTAAACTCTAATGATGTCAATGGGAGTGAAATCCATCAAATCATTTTACTTCATTTTTAAGGCTAATAGCCAAGAGATTGGCAAAAAAAAGTAAACAGTGGGCTTGTCACTTCCACAGGGTACATGTACCAAGGCAAAGAAATGTTTTTTAAAAAAAACAGGGAGCAGTGAATATACTGTAATAATGATTAAAGTGCAGCATTAAAAAAAAAACAGTATTCCTTTAAAAGACCTATTTGGGGGGGATCCCCAAACCTGCTTGTCAAGTGTCCATCTCTACCATGTAAATAAAGTAGTTTAGAAAAAGTGACATTTAGAATGAAAAAAAAGATGTTAAAAATGGTGCTATGCATAATACCTTATTGCATTACTTACAAAATAAAGGAGGCTTGCAGGGAAACGTTATTTAACCAGTTAACATCCACCCTATAGCAGTTTTACTGCTACAGGGCAAACTCCCTGAGCAAAATCACATATATATGTACTTGACCTGTTCTCCCGCTGTGTTCATGGGCAGGGGGCGCTTGGTTTTGTGGTTCGGAAGAGCACCCATCATTCAGCAGATTCAGCCCAAGGATGTTTGGCCTGGATCTGCTGTACTGAATCAGATCTCAGTCTGTGCTTGTGTTTATTACACAGGCACAGGAATGATGCAATCTTCTCTCCCTGGAACACATTTCGTTCCAGAGAGAGAAAAAATCAGATCCACTTGAGCTCAAGCAGCACACTTTTACAGTAAAAGCAATGCTAGGTCACATTTAGTCCACCTGATTGCCCCCCCCTCCACTGCCCCAGTTAACCCCTTCACTGCCTTGTAACCTGTGTCATTAGTACAGTGTAATATTTTTTTTAGTGATCACTGTATTAGTGTCACAGGTGACTTCAGATAGCATTAGTGTCAGTTAGTGTCCCTCCCAGATAGTGTCAGATTGACTGCCAATACATTAGTCATCACATTTAACTCTTTGATTGCCAGTACCATGCTCACATACACAATAAACCTCAATTGCTTGTATAGTGTCTGAACAGACCAATATCTTTGATCAGATGAGAACTATGCCAGTGTTCACAATAGTATAGTGTCTCCAAAAATGCAGTTAGCAGGATCAGCCCGACACCTGCCAGAACCTATGTTTAGCCCCTACGCTTACCCCTCCCTTTCTCCCCCAGCCAGTGAAGTGTCAGTAGATCACTGTCACTTGATACATTGCACATAAAACTGAAGGGTTAGCAAGGTCAGGCCTGATCTCTGCTAGTACTATCAGGTAATTTTTTTTTGTAGCTGTTTAAAAAGTCCCAGCCAGATGTTTTTTTTCCTGTGAGTCACACTTGATACCTATAAATTTAGTGGCCAAAATGTCCAAGGAAATGTTCACTAGTGGAAGAGGCCTACAGGTTTCTGTGCATGTCAGATGAGAGAGAAGGGGAAGCCTCACTGACAGAATCCACCTCAGATGATGGAGTAGTGGTCCTTGCTAAGGTCAAGCATACCCGACCCCATTCCCAGGTTGCTGAGGTGTTAGAATTGCATGATGATTCTCATATGCAGCAGAGTGCCAGTACTAGTGTCGATCTACCTTTTGTTGAACTGGAGAGCACCAGCAGCCTAGTAAATCCTGGTCTTTTTCATACCAGCACTGCAGTATCGTATCACTTGGTAACATGGCGAGTCCCATAAGTGCAGTACAAATTGGTGCAGTGGATAGCACAAGTAGTGTCCCTCAGCCATCAAAAATTCAGACACAAGCCAAAAGAGCCCATAGTGTCCTTCCAGATGTGCTTGCAAATCCTGATTGGCAGCCCAAAAATTCTGCAGCACCCGTAATTCCCCCCATTCACTGCCCAACCCAGAATTCAGGTGGAAACAGCAAATTTAACTACTCCCCTTGATTTTTCTTTAGCTGTTTTTCATGGAAGATCTGTATGGATTAATTGTGGATCAAAGCAATTTATATGCACAACAATTTATTGCTGCCAACCACAATTCGAACCTTTCCGGACCATTTGCATGCATGGGAGCCCCCCCAAAGATGTCCAAACAAGATAGTTTGGAACTTGGAGTAACCCTTTTTCCATATGGGGTACTGCAATTTTTTATACTACCATACTACTTTTTAGAGCAATCTTGGAATTTGTGCTTGCACTATTTGTGCAATCTTGTAATTTGTGCTTGTGGCACCATGCAACCTAATCACTGGGGCTTCCCCCAATGGTTTTTGAATGCCCATCTTAGAAAGGGGGAGAAAGCCTGCTTGAAAAAAGATGAATTGCTCACAGTGAAGTGGAAGGACAAAAGGGATGGTTTTATCCTGTCTTCCATTCACAGACACGACCATCCAAATTTCCAGGCCAGCTGGTGTTGTTGAGAAGCCCCTCTGTGTCCATGACTATAACCTTAAAATGGGACTTGAACAACTAGATGATGAAGCCATACTTAGTTTCCAGTAAAGCCAGATTCTGGTAAAAAAAAGTGTCTGTATATTTATTTAAATTGGCTCTGTACAATGCTTTTGTGCTTTACAAAGCAACTTTACAAAGCAACTGGAAGAAGTGGATGCTTCCTAAAATTCCAGTAAGAGATCAATACAGCCCTTTTGTATCCAGAGGTTCTGTTGCCCAAACCCCCAACTCAGATGCAATGAGCTGGCTGCATGAGAGGAATTTTCCTGATCGTATTCCAGGTACCACAACCCAAAAGTCACCCAAAAAAAAATGTGTCTGTAGCAGATACGGAATTAGGCATGACACCCACTGTTTTGTCCCTCCTGTCCTGGCCAACCTTGTCTCTGCATCAACAACTGCTTCTATACACTAGTGGACTATTAGGATAGGATAAAGCACGGCACAGTCTAGGGCACATATATGCACATGGTCTCGAAAGATGTTAGGTAATCAGGAAAATCATTTTGAGATACCCTAATATTTGGAGGTTGCAGTTTAAAAAAAATAAGTAAAAAAAACCCCCACAAAATAAAAAAGTAAAAAAAAAAATAAATAGTTGTCATTTTATTGAGTTACTGTTATATTGCTACTGTTTTATTGTTGCTGTTTTATTGTTAACCATTGCTGTTTTCTTTGCAGGCATGTCATTCAGCTGCAGCACCAATCTGTTTATTCTGACAGAAACAGGGTCTTGCTCTCAGAATATACGTAAGTGTGTGCATTGCTGTTGGATGAGATTTTTAATTCGCAGTTAAAAAAGAACATAGATGCTTAAGCATAGGGGCCTGTGGTGGTTAGTGGTTGTATCACTCCTATGCTTCAGCAAATATTAAAAAAAAATTGAGAGATTTCTTCATCCACATTGATCGATGTGAATAGAGGAATTGGTTAGGTTCTTTTTTTTGCTCAGCTCGGGGGCTGAATGAAAAAAAAAGAACATTTCATGTATGCCTATCATTAGAAGTGGGTGGATGCAAGATAGTATATTCTAATGGTGGGCATACCACACACTTTTTCTGGCAGAGATTTCTTTTCTTTTTTTCCCCATTCTGCCCACAGGTTGCAAAAAAAAAGAACATAACATAAATACCCAACAAGGACCAGCGACATACTGGTACATCACTGGACTTTGAGTGGTAATACCAGGATAATGCCTGCAGCTGAAGGAATCGACCTGGTATCATTTTTTCAGCCTGCAATCAGCTTTCGTTAAAAGCAATCCTAGTGGCTAATTAGTTGCAGGATTGCTTTTACAAGCAGTGGGAGGAGATGCCCCCCCCCCCACACCCTCGCTGCTTATCGCAAATTTCTCAGGCAGTCTCATGCCATCGGGGGAACCTGAGAATGCAGGCAGCATTTCCATAAGCTGAACATAGACCTGATTGGAGACCGGAATGGGTCCAATCATCTCTATAGTCTAAGAAACCAGAAGCTACGAATTTCATCATCACTTCAGTTTCGCCGACATAAACAGTGTCATTTTTAAGTTGGGAAAGCATCTGATCATGCTTAACTTGGTGAGATCAGATGCTTTAAGAGACCCCAGATTTCTCAGAAAAAAATACCTGTCACTGCCTATTGCTATCAGAGGTGATATTTACATTCCCAGTGATAACAATAACAGTGATTAAAAAATGAAAGGGACAGTGTAATATTAATTTAAAAAATCGAAATCAAAAATAAATAAATAAAGCACCCTTGTCCTCCTGTGCGTACGCTCAACGCTTACACAAGCTTTGGCCCCGTCGTTATGTAAACAGAAGTTGCACCATACATTTGAGGTATCGCAACAAATGTCAGATCAAGGGCAGTAATTCAAGCATTAGACCTCCTGTGTATATCTAAAATGGTAGCCTGTAAAAGCTTTAAAAGCACCACTTATGGATATTAAAAATGTATATAGTTTGTTGCCGTTGCACAAGGCGTGCAGTTTTGAAGCATGTCATGTTTGGTATTAATTTACTCAGCATGCCATCATCTTTTATATTTTACCAAACAATTGGCCAATATATGGTGTTTTTGCACATTAAAATTTTTAGAAGTGTATTTTTTTTTAAAAGGTTTGCGTTTGAAAAATTGCTGAACAAGTACTATGTAACATAAAAAATTGCAATACCCACCATTTTATTCTCTAGGGCGCTTGCTTTAACTACCTGCCGACCGCAGATAGCCGAATGACGGCTGCAGTGCGGCCGGCCAGTTCTGAGTGGACGTCATATGACGTCCCCCCAGAACGCGCTCTCCTGCGCGCCCCAGGGGGCGCGCACCCGGCGATCTCCGTGATCGCTGTGTTCTACGGACACAGCTGATCACGTGATGTGGTAAAAGGCTAATCACAGCGGCCTTTTACCACCTGATCAGCGGTGTCCAATGACACGCTGATCAGAGGGAAATGCAAGTGCCGGTTCTCGGCTGCACTTTCCTCGCGCTGTCAGATCGTGAGGAAAGTACTGCCGAGAACCGGCAGTTGTCAGAGCGGGGATCGGCACCGATCATCAGGGCACTGATGATCAGTGCCCTGATGATCGGTGCCCAGCAGTGCTACCCGCAAGTTCCGCCCACCTGTTGCCCAGCAGTGCGCCCACTAGCTCCGCCCACCCGTGCCCAGCAGATCACCCACCCGTGCCCAGCAGTGCACCCATCTGTGCCCAGCAGTGCACCCACCTGTGCCACTCTGCAGTGCCACCTACCTGTGCCCAGAAGTGCCACCTACCTGTGCCCAGCAGTGCCACCCACCTGTGCCCAGCACCTGTGCCACCCACCTGTGCCCACCAGTGCCACCCACCTGTGCCCCCACCCACCAGTGCCACCCACCAGTGCAGCCCAGCAGTGCTGCCAGTCAGTGCCACCAGTCAGTGCCCAGGGGTTGTGCCAGTCAGTGCCACCAGTCAGTGCCCAGCAGTGATGCCAGTCAGTGCCGTCTATCAGTACCCATCATCAGTGTCACCTATCAGTGCCGCCTATCAGTGCTGCATATTAGTGCCGCCTATCCGTGACACCTCATTAGTGCTGTCTATCAGTGCCGCCTATCCGTGCCACCTCATTAGTACTGCCTATCAGTGCCCTTTAGTGTGCCTATCTGCCCATCAGTGCCGCCTATCAGTGCCCATCAGTGCTGCCTCATCAACGCACATCAGTGAAGGAGAAAAAATGCCTGTTTGAAAAATTTTATAATAGAAACAAAGAAACTTTTTTTTTTTTTCAAATTTTTTTGCACTTTTTTATTTATAGCGCAAAAAGTAAAGCGCCCAGTGGTGATTAAATACCACCAAAAGAAAGCTCTATTTGTGAGAAAAAAATGATCAAAATTTCATATTGGTACAATGTTGCATGACCGTGCAATTGTCAATCAAAGTGCGGCAGCGCTGAAAGCTGAAAATTGGCCTGGTAAATAAGGGGGTATAAGTGCCTGGTAGGCAAGTGGTTAAAAAAAATATAATGTTTGGGGGTTCAAAGTAATCTTGTAGCAAAAAATACTGACTTTTTCATGTGAACAAAAAGTGTCAGAAAAGTGGTTAGAAGAGTGAGTGTGTGACATAAGCTTCTAATGCTGGGCATAAAATGTCAAGATAACAAACCCACAAATTAACCCTTTTTGGAAAGTAGACACCCAAAACTACCATATTTTCCGGCGTGTAAGGCGACTGGGTGTATAAGACGACCCCCTAATTTTCCAGTTAAAACAAAGGTTTTGGGCTATACTCGCCGAGGCAACACTATTTAAAAACATCAGATTTTTTAATTGAAATGGTTATGACTTACCGGTACTTAAAATCCTTCAAAATCCTCATGTTCATCCTCTGACATCATAAGTTCATGAATGACATCTTGTGATACATTTGTAAGGCAGTCATCATATGGATGAAATTCCAAATCAGATGGTTACCGCTGGATGTGCGGTAATCGGTAATTCGGCTACATACAGTATACAGATGGTATAGCCCGCTGGATGTGCGGTAATACGGTAGCTTCGGCTACATACAGTATACAGTATATATACAGTCCACTGGCTGTGCAGTAATGTACATACAGTATACCGCGCTGGGCCAAGCTGGCTCAGAACAAATGTCCCTATGACAGATTAATCTGTCAGCCCGCTGGATGTGCGGTATATACAGTATCTGAGCCAAGCTGTTTCAAAACGTACCGGTACGTCCCTACTGTAATCAGCCCACTGGATGCGTGTATGTATGGTAGCTGAGGCTACATACAGTATACGCTGGGCCAATCACGGTGAACGATGTATTCTACTAATGAATACAAAGCCTGCTCGGATTGTCTGAGGTTGTGACATCATCAGCCCACCTCTCTGACTCAGCCAATCCGAGCAGGCTTTGTATTCATTAGTAGAATACATCACTCACCGTGATTGGCCCAGTGTATACTGTATGTAGCTGCAGCTACCGTACATACACGCATCCAGCGGGCTGATTACAGTAGGGACGTACGTTTTGAAACCGTTTGGCTCAGCGCAGTATACTGTATATACCGCACATCCAGCGGGCTGACAGATTAATCTGTCATAGGGACATTTGTTTTGAGCCAGCTTGGCTCAGCACGGTATACTGTATGTACAGTATTACCACACATCCAGCCAGCTTGACTCAAGGTTCACATTTTATACCCTGTGTATAAGACGACTCCCAATTTTTGGGGTATATTTTTAAGTATAAAAAGTAGTCTTATACACCAGAAAATACTGTATTTGCTGAGAGGCATGTTGAGTCAATAGAAGAATTTATTTTTTACCACAAGTTTTTGGAAAATTCCAAAAAAAAAAAACCCTATTTTTTTCTACACAAAGTTGTCACTTAAATGATATATTGCTCACACATGGCATGGGTATGTGTGGAATTACACCACAAAATACATTTTGATACTTCTCCCGAGTATGGGGATACCACATTTGAGAGACTTTTTGGCACAGGACCCCCAAAATCCTATAAGCACCTTCAGTCTTTAAAAAGGCTTTATTTCCTCATTACACTTCTTGTCTGCCTATCACAGTTTTGGAGGCCCTTAATTGCCCGAATAGTACAACCTCCTCCCAAAATTACCCCCTTTTTAGAAAATAGACACCCAAAGGAATTTGATAAGAGGTATGGTGAGTATTTTTCAAATCCCATTTGTTGCCACAAAGTTTTGAAAAATGAAGAAAGAAAACAAAAACATATTTTTTCTCTTTTTTATTTTTGAAAACCTTGTGAGAAAAAATGAGATCTGCAAAATACTCACCATGCCTCTTTTTACAGTCCTTGGGGTGTCTTCCTTCCAAAAAGGGGTCAATTTTTTTTGGGGGGAGGGGTAAGGAAGTGAAATGAGGACGTCACGCACCTTCAAGCTTTCAAAATGGTCATTGGATTTCGGGCTCCTGTATGTGGCTAGGCTCCCAAAAAGTCTTACACATGTGGTATCCCCATACTTGGTAGAAGTAGGAGAATGTATTTTGTGGTGTAATTCCACATATACCCATGGCATGTGTGAGCAATATATAATTTAAGTGACAACTTTGTGTAAAAAAACAAAACAAAACAATTTTTCAAAAACTTGTGGTAAAAAATAAAGTATTCCATTGACTCACCATGCCTCCCAGCAAATAGTCTGGGTTGTTTACTTTCCAAAAAGGGGTAATTTGTGGGGAGGATTGTGCTCTCCTAGAATTTCAGAGCCTCTGAAACTTTGATAGGTAGTGAGGAAGTGAAATGAAGAATTTAAGCACCATAAGGCTTTCAAAGGGGTAAATGGATTTTGGGCTCCTGTATGCGGCTAGGCTGCCAAAAAGTCTCACACATGTGGTATCCTCTTACTCAGGAGAAGTAGCAGAATATATTTTGGGGTGAAATTCCAAAGATTACCATGGTGTGTGTGAGCAATATACCCTTTAATTTACAATTTTGTGTAAAAAAAAAGAAAAAATTTAATTATCCTAAAACTTGTGGAAAAAAGCAGATAGCTTAGGGTGTCTACTTTCTGAAAAGGGGTCATTTGGGAGTGTTTGTACTGCTCTGGTATTTTTTTCACCTCAAGAAATGTGATAGGCAGTCAGAAAGTAAAAGCTGTGTAAATTCCAGTATCCATACCATAGTTTTAGGCGATATAACTTTCACACAAACCAATTAATATACACTTATTGGGTACTTTTGTTACCAAAGACATGCAGTAAAAAACATTTTGGCCTAAATTTATGACTAACTTTAAGTTTATTATATCTTTTTTACAACCGAAAGTAAACAATATTTTTTCAAAATGTACCTCTTTTTTTGTTTATAGCGCAAAAAAAAAATAAAAAACCCAGTAGTGATCAAATACCACCAAAGGAAGCTGTATTTGTGTGAAAAAAGTACATCAATTTCATTTGGGTACAGTATTGCATAACCGCGCAATTATTAGTTGAAATAACGCAGAACCAAATAGCAAAAAATGGTCTGGTCAGGAAGGGGGGTAAATCTTCCAGAGTGCAAGTGGTTAACTGCTTCTTTTCTATATGTCACTTTTGTTATACTTAATAAATAAGATAATGACATGTGGTCCATTACAAAATCCATACCAGACCCTTCCAGTCTAGTATGAATTTTAAGGGGGAAGTGAAAAAAAATAAAGGTGAGGGGTTCACCCAAATTCATACCAAAGCTTTAATATAAGCAGTCTGGAAGACTGGGAAAGGGGAGGGCAGTGCGGCTGTCTGTCTCAACCATACCCGGTCACATGATCTCAACATGGGGGGTGGCACATGTTGATGACATTGCATGGGGGGGAGGCTATTTAGAATCTGCAAGCCTTCTTTAAGATAAGGTGCTCCCAGATATCCTTCCACTACATAAATAAGGGGTACAAAGTCAGTTATAAAAAGAAAAAACACACACACACGTTTGACAAATGGTTTATTAAAAAAAAATTAAAACCAAAACAAAATCCATCCTTGTAAATCCAGCTTCAATCTTGAATGTTGATCCCTAAAAGTGAAAAAACCCTTTGATATGCCAAACTGCCCTCTCACTCTACACACGCCCTCACTAATGACAGCTCATCTGCAGGAATCCTTAATAACCATTGACAGTGGGAAGCTGTTATGTATATTAGTGGTGGCAATACTGCTATTATACATAACATTCAGCTTTCCCTGAATGGGTAAATGTTTGTCCAAACACTTGAACAGACAGACCCTAAGCTCATTCCTTTTCAGCATCTACTGTGTCTTAGACACAATATAACAATTCTATCTGTTACATTATTAAAAACCCATGAGACAGGAGGTAGCCTTAGGTGAGAATAATATTAGACCTTTTAAGTGTTTTTATATATTTCTATGTAGTGCAATGGCATTACTACAATATGCACAATGCCAGTCTCTTTTGGTTATTGAAGGGTATAAAAAAGCAGCAAGGGTGTTTATAATACAAGCTCATGTAATAATCTGTGCAACCCCTTGTCCTATGTCAATGATCTATACCCTGTTTGATTAAATAAACTGTGAAAGATTTGTTATCACTAGAGATGTCACATTATATGGTCAGTATCCATGTGGAACTGCAGTTTTATCTTAAATATCTCCCATCACCTAGGTGACTCTTCCCCTTTGTTTATAACAGCTGTCTTCCACTGGACCTGTCATTCAGTGGGAGTGAAGTGATAAGACCAGACATGTGTCAGCAGACAGCATTTTTTTTGGGGGGGGCAGGTTGGCAGGAAATGCGATTGAAG